ACAACAGAGTCAAGCAACTCTGGGCTGAAACATTGGCAATAGAGGCAAAAGAAACCTTTCACCTTTATATGCTGATTCTCTCAGGTATTTATTAATGATGACAGAAAACTGACAGAAATGGCACTGCAAAGAAGAGGTGTCAGCTGGCTCATGCCTATAATCTTATCTACTCAGGAGGCTGAGATCGGAGGATGGCGGTTTAAAGCCAGCTCAAGAAAGAAAGTCTTATCTCCAATTAACCACCAGAACACTGGAAGTGGCACTGTGGGTCAGGCGGGAGCTTTGAGCTGAAGAGCTCAAGGACAGTGCCCAGGCCCAGAGTTCAAGCCCCACAACTGACAAAGAGAGAGAGAGAGAGAGAAGAACTGTCAGCAGTAAGTGGTGGAGCCTACATTAATGAGAGACTGCAGTGAGTTGGGAAATTTGAACAGAGTTAAAAGTGACCAGTATCACTTAGAAGGAGAAAATGGATGCAGGGTACCATATCCATCCAGCTTGTTTACACTGCGCATTTATTTGGCACCAGGAGCTGTCAGCATTGTGTAAGCCAGCAAGATGTTCATGAGGAGTTCATAATCTAGAACACAATAGGCTATGCACTGAGCTGGAATTAGTGGAAACAATAAATAATCCAAGGTTTTAGTTTCCCGTGAGGGAGTGAATAGTCCACATGGCAATTGTCCAGATGCCTACAAGATTGCCAGCTCCTATTCTCTTGGAGTCATAGCTAAGGAAAGATGTTTAATGGAGAGGCATGGTGTCATGAAAGAACAGTGAAGCCCTCCAAATAAATAAGCATACTAGAAGGAAAGAAAGATGGGAACCCTTTTGCTGGTTCCCACAGTTGTAGCTGGTGAAGGAGGCAGGTGGTTTGAGACCCCAGTGTATGAATGTTGGAGAAGTATTCCCTTGCCGGCAGTCTGGTGGCCCGAGTAAGTGCCAGAGAAAGTGAATCTGAGTGCCAACATGCGACATTCAGTTTCATTTGGTTGTGGTCTTACTCAGATGAGCTTTAAGAGAAGAGAAGTAAGCCAGGCCCAAAGAAACATAGGTCCCATGGTTTCCCTTATTTGAAATATCTAGTATATCTATGAGTCAAGCGGAAAAGGTCAGATAATGTGATGTCAGGAAAATGAACCCTTAGATATGTATTTTAATGTT